TATTTAATTTATAATCATGGAACTAGTGACTAATAGAACTGTTAGTAAATATTTGGGCCAAATGTAAACTCCTACACGAAAAACCTTTTTACCCAAATCATCATTAAATGTAAACTTCTAACCTTTTTACATTTTTACCTGAAAATCAAAGATACGATACTGTAATCTCTTACGTGGACATTTTTACCAGAAAAAAAATAGGGTGGTATAATTTGAATTCACGATTTTTTGGGTTGAAAAGTTCAAAAAGTTTAAAATTATCATAACTTGAAAATAATAAATATATAAAATACAAACACTTGAACAGAGCGTATTTATACGATGTATGGTGATTCTTGAAGGCTAGTTATATCCATTTATATACTATATTATAAGTTCATATCGGAATTTGCAGTACATAATGTTAATAAATTAGCGATAGTAATTAGTATGGTATCGACATAACGCAGACAAACAAAAATAATTTAAAAATATAAATTTATACTTATACAAAAAAATAAATATATACAAGGAGAAAGCTCACGTTTAGAGTTTATTTTCAAAGTATTCCATAAAAATAATCGTAAATGATTACGAGTTATAACTATTGTTTTATTAAATTTTTATATTTTTCAAACAATTTTAGTTTTAACTTTGAAGTTTATATTTTTGTACAATATTATGTATTAATATATTGCAAGAATGATATATTTTTATAGTGGTATAAACAGTATCCTTTTTTATCATATTATGTAGGAGCTTACCATTCCCCAATATTTGTCACTTCAAATTTTAAATATTATTCTCAATAAAATATTCTATTTAGAATTTTTAAAACTATAATATAGGTACCTACTCCCTAGTAATAATACAAATATAAAAGAACCTCATATCCAAAATGTTTAAAAAATCCTAACTCCTAATGCCAAATTTATAAGAACATAAATCAAAATATATGAACATTTTGATTTTTTTTCTACCAGAAAGTGGTCAAACTTTCACTTGGCCTATTTAGACTTTACCAATCAAATATTAATAATATAACATAACGAGTTGAACTATAAGTTACTACCTACTTAAATATTATGATCGGCAGTGAGTAACATGTTATAAATGTCGTGCGAGTTAGTACGTTCACATGTTTATTTTTGTTTATTTTTGACTAATATCCAGTACGTACACATTTTACTTAATAAAAAAAGAGTAGTCAAATCTACGAATAAAAGGACCTACTTATGTGTATACAGTTAAATGTATTGTTTACATTAATTGACTTTAGATTGGTTTTATTTTTGACATTAAGTAATTTTACTCGTACACAAAATAATAAATTTTGCATATTTAATAATAGAGTATAATAATATAGTAATGTACTATAGTATAATATGTTATAAAATAACCTATTATAAGTATAATAGGTATGTATAAATTAGAATATCTTTATTCGACGAAAAAATTACAGAAGGTTATAAAGTATTCATTCAAAATCTAACCTTGATACGAGTAACTACGCGTAATTAAAAAAAAAACCTTTCCACTTTTTTCATATTGATATGTACGCACAGCATTATAAGTTGTTCAAAGTACATCGTTTTTCGTGTAGAATTCGTTTGGGTACGGAACACTCCATAAAGATTTAATAATTTAATGTGGTAGGGTAATGGAACTCGCACTTCGCCAACTATTTAAATTAGAAAATACTATTGGGATTCCCTGTATAAATGAACTGTCATAGAATAAAAAAATATATTACGATTAAACTAATATTTATATAGGTACTACGAAACTATAATTATAATGATAATAATAATACTTGCGCGTGTGAAAACAAATCTTCACTAAAATCAAGGAGTAATAGAAATATGGAAACACCAAATTGGGAAAATTGTATAGGCCTCCTGCAAGTATTTGCGCGTAGGAAAAAAATTAGAAACCGCCGGCCAGGAATGAAACGTTGAAGTTGACGTTTAAAACTTCAAGCAAGCTCAATTATTCACAACAGATGAAACCACTACACTCATAGTACATGATATATCGAAACGTTATCGTAAAAAAAATACGAATTCCCCAGTGTAATAATGACGTGAACATTGTATTTCGATGACTTTTCGGGAGTGTGTCCAATTTTAGAGTAACAACAAAATTATTGAATCAACAATAGACTTTTTAAAAGTTATCACGGTTAACCTTTAATAAAGGGAAACATTTTAAAAATTCATAACTAGACACAATTGAACATAGATATAAATGTACTTACCTATATATTATTTGTATTTTGTAGTCTCGTGGATGTTTTGAATGAAAGTATGTTTTAGTGTATTTGATTAAGATAATAATAATAGTATTGCGATTTTTAATAAATATAGAACATATATTTAGTTATAATAAATGTATTAGGTGGATTATAAAAGAAATTAAATGTTTTTAAGTGAATTCACTCGATAAAAATTAATTATTCTACAAAATAGCATATATTTTATTTTGACATATGAGCTATTGAAACATTTTTTTTTTCATAAAAGTAAAACTAAATTTAATATTTCAATTTAAACATAATAATACTATTACATTTTTCAATTTAAATTTTATAATAATAAATTTAAAAAAAAAAAATGAATGTTGTGTTGGTACTTTTAAGCTTAATATTTACTAATTCATACTTAAAATGTATGTTTGACAACTTATTTTTAGCACCACCGTTATAATTAATACTTGATATCTAAAATTAAAAAAATAATTCTTCTCTTTTTAGTTTTAAATTTTAGGCATCTAGGTACATCAAAATATTAGAATAATTAAACGAAAATAAAATATTACGTACCGTTAGCTTTTAATTATTTGTGTTCGTACTAAAATATAATAGCGGAATGGGCTATTGAATTGTTTGACGATTGTTGAGTACAACTGTGCAGTCAATCGTTAGAAGCGGTGACATACTGCAGAGTGCAGACATGTATAATATGGAAAATGAGGCATAAAAAAAATGCATCGTTTGTTGTTTGGACTATTTTTTTTTTTTTATCGTAGCGAGTGATGACTTACAAGTCCGTCTCTGAACGATCTGTAAAGTATCGATCGACGACAACCAAACACTGTGTGTAAGTTGTAGATCGCTTGTCGGGTGATTTAAATGCTAAGGAGTGTGTTTTTCTTCACAAGACGACAGAAATATTAATAGTTCCCACTGAAACGACGAAACCTCTTAGCCTCAACTTACCGGTGTATGGTGTATCTCGTCTCTATACGAGTATGTATACTTTACAGACGTCTACTTATTCAGGCGAAAAAAACTAGTTGCGCGTTTACGTTCCAATCAACGGAAAATTCTTATTTTATTACCAGCCGCTTCTTCCTGGTTATTATTGCGTGTCGTCATATCGGAAAACTCGAGTGATTATTACAACTGCAGATATAACAATGCTAAGTATTATATACGTCTCAACAGACTACTATCATTTACCTCTTATTTAGTTTTATGACTATTCAAAAAATTGCGATTGCAATTATTAATTTTGCATCTAAAAATAAAATATTTTAAGAATAAACAATAATCAATTTAAAAGACAAGTATAATATATTTTATATTGCTAGATAATTTTGAGTTTTATTTAATTAAAGTAATTTACAAAATTGTTATTTGTGTAAGTAATTACAATGGTTTTAATTAACAAAGAACTATTTTTAACCATGTCTTTTTTTATTAAATATATATTATATGATATATAATATTAATTTGTTTATTACAATTTCTTGTAAAAATTTATTTTTGGACGCAATACTTATCTGTAACAACGATAAAACAGGAATTCGGGGCAGCCAGATTTTGGCGTCATCGTAGCATTATACTATATTATAATAGGTACCTACATATCAATATTTGGAAGGACCTATTATGTCACCAGAGAAATGGAAAATCTGAAAAGTGAAAAGGATACAAAAAGGTAAATCACTCATGTCAAATTGAAATGTCTTTTATTATTTGTTAAAATTTAAAACAAATATTGCCTACTTTTTTTATATAAATAAATAAATAAGTACAATTTATATTACAATCGTATTTGATGTCTAATACTATATATTTAAATTATGTACAAAAGGTTTTTCGTAGTCTGATAAAAACTTAAAATAAAAACAAAATAATAATAATAATAATAATTTATCGTAATAGTAACCTTGTAAACAAAATAGTAAATTCTACAATATAATAATAATATGATAGAATCGAAACACGAACGTAAAACATGGCAAAATTAGTATATTTTTTTTCCGATAGAATATTGTTTTATAATCGTATACATATTATATGTTATTTATATAGGACAAATTGTTTTCGATAATAATTTACTTAACATGATTAATAATATTATTCATATGGAAAATTTAAATTTTTTTTTTTATCAATAAAAAAAGCATCAGCTACTATTAATATTGAGTACCGACTACATATTATATAGTAATAATAACATAATTTAATTTTAATACGATGGATAACAAACTAACAGAACGAATTTAATGGAAATAAAAATTTGAAAAACGACATAATCTTCGGAACTTTATCGTGAACTATTCACATGGTTCTCAATTGGTTGTGACACCTGAATTTATAATATTATTTTTTAGTTGACATCAACAACTGAGAATATTATAAAATTAACATTATTGTGTTCCCCTAGAAAAAATATTACAATAAAAAAAATTAAGTACCTATGACATAAATACTTAACACGAAAAAAAAACATTCCCCTTAAATTAAATAATAACCAACAAAACTAATAAAATTATTTAAATGGTAACTATTTTGCTTACTGGCTGATTAATAATTAGGTAATAACTATAATAAAAAAAATTAAGTGCTTCAGGGAACTGATTAAAAGAATATTAAAATTTGAGTGTGCAAACTGATCAGGGGTACCGTTATTTAGAATTATTATTTTTTATATGTCTGTAGCCAAACGCAAACAAAACAAGTCTGATTAGGAACGCAACGTAGTATTTTCGAATAATAATATTTTTAGTATACATATTTGTTTTTTTTTTTTTTTTTGTAGGTTTTTTAATGTTATATAATATAAATATTGTTTAGTTCAAAGTGGAATGGTTTCCGCGAGACGGAACGTCTAGCCGGAAAATGAATATCCTTAACCTATCGTCGATTAAAATAATTAACTCTACACTTAAGCATTAATCGTTATACATAGTTGACGTGACAGCCTTTTAAAATGTTTTATCCTTAAAGTTACATCCGTTTTAACACAGAACACTTAAATAGCGTATGAGCAGAAACGTATCGTAAACGTAATCGTATTACGAATATCGTACTAAATAATTTAACATTTTTTATATATCATATTTAATAAAATGTCGCTAGCCTAACGACGCGGACAATAATAATATATTATGCGTAAAGATATAAAGTACATTCGTTCGCGTATCGTATTATAATAATATATAATGAACATAGTTATTTATACATATGATAAATATTATTTTCCGCGATTCAGTTTTCTCTTAAAAATTGTTTAACAAAATAAAAATTAAAAAACAATTAATTGTTTCGTTAATTTTCTAACGCGTATACATTTGTATTTTAGTTAATGGGTTTGACGCCACGATTCGCATACATCATACATGGAAGATTAAGTACATGATATTAAAAAATATGATTTTTTTTCTTTGTCACCACGCAAGGCCTATATAATTTTTATTAATAGTAATAGTAATAACAGTAGTAAGTCGTAATAAAAATTTTAGACGTATAATAAAATTGTATTTTATGTACGCTGTTTGCATACATAAACGTTGCGAAATCTATGTCTTATATACATGGGGTATTGTCGCACATGAACAATTTAAAACCAACGGACAAACATCGGTTATGTATTATAGTGAAATCAACAATATGTGTATAATACAAAATATTATAAAATAGGTACTACGATGATAAAGTTACCATCGTACACACCGTGCTTGTAATATAACAGACGCGCGTTGTGTGCATTGTCGCGTTGACTAGACGTATTTACTGGACAGCTGTTTGGCTAACTCTGTGTACTTGAGAAATTTCGAATGCGGACTCTCGTCGTAACCGCCACCGTTCTTGGCTTCCGGACTCTTGACGCTGGCACTGGCAGAAGTGGACGGCGACCCATTGTTGTTGTTGTTGTTGTTGTTATTGCTACTGCTATTGTTATTGTTGTGATTTGGAGATGATTTGTGTTGCGAAGATGACGAGGGTGAAGGTGAAGGCGAATGGGCTGCAGACGATGAAGAAGACTGTTGGTGGCATGACCCGGCAGCAGTAGCCGACGACGAAGAGGCCGGTTTTAACATGATCGGTTCTGGCGTGATGCCTTCCTTGACGAAATGCACTTTGGAAAGGTGGTGCCGGTACGCGCCCTTAGATATGAACGGCGTGTCGCAAAAAGCGCACTTCATGATCGAGTCGGCCGTCACTACAGCGTCGTTGCACGCCCAGCTAAATGCCAAAATCGCACCAGGAGCGGTGCTGCCCGTGATAGATGTGGGCGGTGACATGGATTGCGCGGGTCCCCCATTGGTAGCAGATGCGTTGGACGACGAACGGCTGCTGGGCCGGTGGTGGTGATGGTGATTGTGTGGGTGGTGGTGGTTCTCTGTCTTGTCACAGAGCTTCTGGAGTGCGGCTAAGGGATGGCTGCTGGTGCCTCCACCACTCTTTCCGCCACTACTTTCACCGTTTGCGGAAGACGACAATCCGCCACTTCCACTATTGACCGCCGAAGTTAGACTTTCAAACATCGATGACAGAGCACCCAGACTACTGGACGTCACTGGCGTCTTCTTGCCATTATCTGTGGATTTGTCGCTGCCAGCTGGACTCATTGGGCTCTTAACATTGGTGGGTGTTGGGCCCCGGCTCGATCCATTCGTTTCGTCTACCACCGAACCCTCGGCCGACTCCCGACTCCTAGCCCGCCGCTCGGCTGGACTCTTCACTACCACGTCATCTTCATCTACATACTCTTTCTTCACTTCAAAGTCTCCTGCAACGCACCCTTCATCAGGCCCGCCGGATGACTCGGTCTTGACTTCTACGCCACCGGAGATTTCCTGCCCACCGTGACCTCCTTTACCGGACGACGACGATGTAGACTTAGGCGAACTGTGCCGTTCGGGCGTTGATTTAGGCGTTACCGACCGCATGCGCTGATAGTCAGATGATTCGTACTTTCGGTCTGGAGTGGTCGAATCACTCCGCATGGCTGCCAACTCAGGTGACATGGAACTTGACTCGCTGCCACTTCGCTCGTGCCGACCCAGTGACTGATAGCTTCGCAACAAGCTCATTGCTTGTACGTCCATTATAGGCTTGGTGGCATCCACGCTCTCGTCAATGCCCAAACGTTTAAGTATGCTTTCGCCGATCGAAGCGCCTGTAGCTGACGTACCATAACGGAGCCGTGAGTCGAAGCTCTTTTCGATCAACTTCTCGATGGCATTGAGCACGGACGGCGACGACGAACCGGTGGTGGCTGCGGCTACGGTCGGTTTATTCATCGACAGGTCAGCCGCTGCTTGAGATCTGTCTTGCTCTTTCTTAGGTCTCTTCTCTCGACTTGGTTCTGTCGCTGAATTCTGCGACATCAATGCGGTCTTCAGCAGGTTCTTCTGGTCGGCAGTCATCGTAACACACACCCGTAAGTGTTCCATGAAACTGGCCACATCCACTTTTTCACCACACTTTTCACAAATTATCCTACCTAAACGGTGATTGGTGTCGTTAACTGCCTTGAATCCACTACCAGCTGTTGGATATCCTCCGTCGCCATTCTTCACATCATGTTGAGCCCGTTCAAGCTCTAATAGCTTACGCACTGGCAGCGATTTCTTCCGTTTCTCCCGTGTCTGCCGGCGCCTGTTGCTACCTTCCGTGATTGATCGCATCATGTGCTCCTTATAATGTGCATTCTTCACCATGTGCACGCTCAGCTCTTTGAGTGAATTGAACGCCTGATCGCACACCTTACACGTAAGCACGGCACTCACGTGATTAGCAGACGTGTTTACCGAACTAGCCGGCGAACTGGTAGACGCAGCGCTCACGTTGCTACCACCGCTCGATGACTTGTTTTCGTCCGCAGACTTCCACGATATGATTTGCTCCTGTGAAATTATGTTGGTGTAGTGTTGCGTCTGCTGCATGTGCGTAGTCATCTCTTGCAGAGACCTGAAGCTCTGGCCACACCACATGCACTTGAGTATCTGTCGAGTCTGTTCTGCGCCTTTTCCAAGCCAAACGTCCTGACCGCGCACCAACTTTCTGGGCAACGGCATTGTCTCCTTGATCAACATGTTGAGATCGTTTTTGTGACTAGAAGACGTAGACACAGGTGGTGGTGGTGGTGGTGGGGGCGGCTGGAGGCTTTGAGCAGCGGCTGTTCCGTGTTTAGTCTCAGCCATGTGCGTTGACATAGCCTGCAACGTGGGGAAACTCATCTTACACCAGACGCACTTGAGAACGTCTTTGGTTTGGTCAGCTCCTTTATTCAACCAGTGTGACTGCCATGCACTGTGACGCCCTGAGCTGGGTGCCAGTACCGACCTCGGTTCGTCTTGAAGCTTACTCAGTTCGCACATTTTTTCCAGCGCCTTAGTCGCATCACTCGCAGCTGACGGGAACGATCCATACGTAAGTTTTCCGTGCTTACCGTTCCACATGTGAACCGGATCGCTCGGTGAAGTCATCATCTCGCCTCGGGATATGGGCCTAATCACCGGGGTAGTGTATTGTGCCCAAGGCCTGCTCATCCGGTTGTACGCATCTGTGGACGGCGACACTGGCGACGGGTCGAGTTTTATTTTTTTGCTCCTAATAGTCAGGTCGATCGGCGAGTCGTCATTGCTGTTACTAAGGTTCATGGCTGCAGGCTGAGAAGAAGCCGCCGGTGGGCTAGCTGGCCTTTTCGTACTGAAATCTAGCACGTCCGACGAAGGTGGTGAACGTCCCGGAGACACGGTTGCCAACAATGGTACTTCGTAAGGCGGAAGACTCGATTCACTCTTCGGTGAATCTCTACTCATTTTAGATGGACTATTTGTTTCTCTGTGAACATAAAAAAACAAACAATTTACGTTTTAAAAATTACTCATTGTTATATTAAAATCCAAACTATAAAAATATAAATGTATTTTCCCCCAAGCTAGAGGGTATCCACATTGGTGTGCCTCCCTCCTCACGCCATTCATGTTGTTCCTTTATTATATTATCAAATTTACTTATTGTATGTATATAAATATTCTATTTTATTTAATAAAAAAAAATAATGCATTTAACGAACAGAATAATTCAAGATCGATATAATATTAAAATTGACGTGAATAATATTAAAGTGCACAACGCGCTTCCTGTGAAACATTGGATCATTTTAAAATACTCAAAAAAATAAAGAAAACCTGAAATAACGTGCTCGAGACTAATAACCGGGTTGACATTCAATGTCGTCTAAAATTGAGACGCACTATAAAAATTGACACGAATAGATTGACCAAGTCCTTGATTTAATGAAGGCGTTTATCAAAATTATTTGATATTTTTTTTCTCCTCTCCATTAATTACGACGTGTTTTTTTTTATTATTACCATCTGCCAACTACACATTTCAGTCAACCAACTGCATTATTATTATTTATTTATTATTATTATTATTTTTTTTTTTTGTGGGTTTAATTAATGGAAACAATTAGCATAACCTGACATTGAGTTGGCGACAAGATTTCAATCCGAATGATTAGCACGCGGCCATTTTGGCTCGGTGCCTGCTGACTTCGGAGCATAATATACACACACACATATACCTCGCTCTCACACACGCGCGTATATATTATTCAGAATTTGATATAAGGGCCCCTTTTTTTTCTGGTGTGGGTCGGGACGTTGGGACTTTGTGCAAAGCCGGGTATAGTGAGTGAGTGAGAGGGAAGAGAGAGGAATAGATTTGCACGCCCGGAACTCGATCCTCCGTCGGCAATAATTTCCGGCTAACAAGACAGATTAATGAACAATATTTCATATTGGCAAGACTTTTCTCGCAAAAACAAACTCAGTCGAGTGCCGCATTAAAACCAATTTATGGAGTTTGCAGTGTCGTCTCCGGCGCAACCGGAATAATTGTAATATAATGCCGTCACGAATTCAAGTTGACAAGGTGTATCTTTAGGCCACGCCGGCGGGAGAGTAGAACGACGACGTTATCATGGTGCCCCGGTGGCGGCCGTATATATAGTCGACGTGAGCAGCAACGGGCGATATATTTTAAAAATTATCGAATCCAAAGTACAAAGTTGACGTTCCCAGTGGGGGGTCATAACAGTTTTTTCCCGCTCTCGTCACCACCGCCCCCATATTACACAGCACCGCTCTACACACTGTCGGTTTCCACTCCGCACCCTGAACTTCCTTCGCGTAGCGTAGGCGAAAAAAAGAAATTATCTGCCGCTGCAGGAGAGGCGGCACCCGAGCCATTATCGTAAATCAGTCGAAGAGTCTCGCCATCTCTCCGCCACGAACCAAGACTAAATGAAAATTCAAATGAACGGGCAAAACCAACACACCCTGAGCACATTACGAGGCGCTCGATGACGACGACACTGTTCGCCGTTCATCGTAGTCGACATTTGGAACGTTATTTTTTTTTTTTTTAATGGCACGATGGGGGCCACCAATGGCGTTTCTTACATATATTATATACAAATTTTGAAGAGTTTTTCGGACGAGTTATTATTAATATATATTGTCATTCTCATCGAAATTACATTGCCGAATTTCACCATTTTATTATTTTTTTTGTTTTTACTTAATTTAAGTTTCTTTTAGTTTAAATAACTATTGAACGCACAATAACAGTATAATATCATACCATTTTATGTATAGAACGTGTTGGTTTAAGAATTATAATTTAATACGGGCACGAAATCGTTTAGCAATCAAAAATAAATCAGAATATTAAAAATATTGATATAATAATATGATATTGTAATTACGAATAATGTGAAGAAAATAATATGCGCATTAATTGACATTCAAACAATTTTCAAAGACGTTGAAGTACATAGACACGTTCACATATTCATCAAACCAGATTTATGGCCGAGGCGTTTTTGTTTAAACGACGAGACGTGTGTGACATTGCGTAAAATCGACCATTTTACCAGAATAAATTTAATGGCATTCCTACTGAGAGTATAATGTCAAGGCCCAATTAAACGAACCGTATCGATGGTAATAATTATTATTATCACAATCTTTATATATTTATAGAACACAGATATATTATTCGTGCGTGATTAAATTATACGTTTTAATTAAGATTGCGTTATATACGACGACCGGGATCAGAAAACGATCGTCTTTATTATAATTATAATAATAATAACAATAATAATTCACGACTATTCGAAAATTAATAATCTGTTGGTCGTTTTATAAATTATACAAAACTCGTTGACGCCGAACGACTGCAAATTATAATAATATTTTAATATTTCTGGCGCGAAGAATTATTATAACACAATTATTAATTATTACGAATCAAATAATGTGAAACACTCACACGATTCGAGAGATATAAATCCTAATTACAAAAATTACCGCCGATGAATCGGAACGCGTTTTTATGTCAATTAAATAGAGGGGGGATTCATACTTGTATAACATCTCAATTTTAATAAATATATCATACTTATATCGTGTTAAAACGATAAATCGTAACTGTTATTATCATGTTATTGGTCATAACTTATATTATATGATAGGGTACTGACCTCAGAGGCAAACGCTCGTTAGCCACTGCGACGTCTTGTTCGACGTCCGTGCTCGACGGTATCGGAGACCTCGGCGGTGAGCCGGACGATCCGCCGGACACGCCTTCCTCTTCTTCTTCCTCTTCGTCTTCGTCGTCTTCTGGGCAGCCGCCGTCGTCTTCTTGGTAGCCCGCTGGTGGCTCTTCGCCTTCACCACCTTCCCCTGGAAAAACCAAAAAGAATATTGTGTTAAAGGTTCGACATAAACGTATAATATATAGAGGGTAGAGATATAAATTGAGAAAGAAGTCGACGTGATAATGGTAATAAACTTATATAGATCTATATAAGAATGTGGAATTTCTGGGATTGGGGCAGTCGGCAGGAGTCTCGTTGTACATTATAATTGTAAGTTTATGTGTATGTGTGTGTACGATATTAGTACTGTGTTTGTGCGAGTACGATGCACGCATGAGGATCGTTCATCCTATTGGCCCGCTCGCTTCGAGATGAGACTGATGAGAGTCTAATTTGAAATAATGGGCTGCTGTCGAACCGACGTTTAGATTAACTGTACGCGCCGGTGACGTCGTCGTCAAACACCCGCCCGACGATGGGTCGTTTGTACTTATTTGTACAGTATTGGCTGTCAATGATTTTTTTTTTCTAGAAAAAACGATACGCAACGAAGTCACTCCGCGGCATGCAGTGAAAATTATACTTACAAGTTGCGATCGTTTTCCTTTCTTAACAAGCCGACCGCCGCGGTAGCATCGCTAATATATTATTAATATTATTATTAATATTATATTAATATTAATATTATATTAATATTATTATTAATATTTATATTATTATTCTATAAACTGCCCTGTGAATCGACCGTAACAGAGCGCTGTCGTTAAATGAACGTAGAACAAAACAGACGCGCGAGTACTGTAAAAACTAAAATTTTACCAACAAAAAAAAAAGACCCAGAAAAGAGTTTATTATCTCCGCAGACGTTCGTCTTTTTGATCAACGCATTTTATACTTAGATGTTCCGGAAAAAAAGAATAAAGTGAGAGAGAGATAGAGCAAATAATAATAATAATAATAATATAATGGTATGGTATAAGGAAAAAAAACTTTTGCGTGCACAGACGAGACGAGGTCTTGATGCAGCGGAATTCATTATTTTTGTGCACGGACTCTGCAATGTAGTTAAAGAAGAGGACAATGGGGGTCGCGAATTTTCCGGGCCGACAAACCCTCAAGATCGAACGCGTTAGATAACGATATAAAAACAATAAAACCTGGGGCGGATCTCTCTCTCTCTCGAACCTGTCCAAAGTCGTCACGACCCAAAGCCTATTGTCTTAACGCCTTGCAGATGGCCCGATAAAAACGAATGGGTTTTTTAAGAAAACTTAAAACCGTCGACATCGTTGTCGTACCCTTCGGCCCGCGCACCAACGTCCCGTCGGAATGACACCCGCGCCAATTGTGCAGCACCGCGAAAATTTCTCGTACGCGGCGGCCGCGAAAAGGAGCCAAGGAGAAATGTGTATGTCTAGCATTATAATAATATGGTGTACAATAGTATTAATATAATGTAATGAACTTAACATTTACAGACGCCGTGTCCAATAAACCACACCCCGCTTTCCTCGATCATTAGGCTCGCGCCGTGTTTTTTTTTTCTCCTCTTATATTATTATTATTATTATTATATTCTTACCGCGCCGTGTATAGGTTATTTTATTTATTATTTGTTTTTAAATCCATCGGAGCGGCGACGGTGGCTAATATATATTAATATAGTATGTGCGCGCGGAATGCGGAGAAAAAGAAAATATCGTTTAATTGGTCTGATTTATCGTCTATTGTTCACGTGCTGGTCGTGATGGTCCGATTTTTTTTCTATTATTATTATTATTATTATATTTATGTTTCAGCGCCACCGGTCAGCGCCACTCCTCACTAACTACAGCGGTCGTTATCCGCCGTTGCCACCGCATCTTATTATCGCCAAACCTATCCAAAGGCACATACTCACGATCGGCTTGTCGGTTGTACTCGTATTTATTATCAACGTATGGGTGCGCGGTTGTTATCCCCGGTCCGATCGTCGGTCGTTTTTTAGTGGCGCACGCGCGGCCGATAATCTACGCGAAAATCGGCGCAATTACTATATATATAAATAAATATACCTATTATAGATACGCCGAGAGTCATATATTACCCAGGTCGCAGTGATAGCCGACATTATAATATGTACGTTACGCGCTTAATGCTGATACGAAAACGGAAACAAAAACGTGTCCGCTGACGAGAATAAATAACAATAATAATATTATAATATTATAATAATTATATTACTATATATATATTAGGATACCATGCCGCGTGGAACGCGCAATCAGCCGGTACGGCGGCAATCCGTTTTCGAAAGGTCTAAATTAGGCGGTGACGGCGACGACGACAGGACCGCCAAAACAAACAGACTCGTAAATTAATTGTCAACTCTGGTAACCGCACCAATTAACGTGATGTCGTTAAACATTAAGTTGCCGGCGGCGGTGCCTGCGTAGCGTCGTCGCGTTTTCTACCCTCCGCGAACCCGCGCGTACCGGGACTCCCGCACCCTTCTACTCGGGGTGAAGCGCGCGCGCGAGCCGTCTGTCTGTTTAATTCTCATTTGTCACCTCAAACCCCTTTTTCAACCGTCCCGCGTACGTTCCTCGCCGCGCGCCGTGTACATATACACACGATTGTACAACACCGTATAAACACAATAATAATCATAATCATATAATAATATTAACGATAATATATTCTTCTGTCTCGTAGATGCAGCAGCAGCCGCTCGACGTCAGTCCATCAGTCAACCCGACACGCGCACGCGACTGTGATATAATACGCGTTTACTGCAAAGGTGCCTCTATATGTTTATATATATTATGATGCCGATTATTAATACTGCGAAGATCGAGATACCGCGCAAACTTACGCACACACCGAGCACAACGCGTGTTATTCCCTCGCGACAACGACCTCAGGCCTCACGACGCGCCTATATACTATAGTCCATAATAATATATAAACGAACGGGCGGCGGCGGCGGTGTGTTTTCCTCGAGTCTGATCGAGCACACAATAAAACAATTTTTTATTCCACACGCCACTGCAGCTATGGAGGCATATTATTATAATAACATATCGGCCAGCCCTTTTTTTTCTTTTTTTTTTACCTCTCGATCGCCATACCGTACACACCGAAGCGGCGTTTGTATGCAAATTCCGTAGCACATTTGCGTATGTACGCGCGCGTGTAGCGGTATTGTCTCATCGTCGTCGCCGTCGTTAAACGCTTTTCAATTTTTGCGACAGACTATCTGAAACAATGGCTGTACTCTTGCGCTGCAGGCAGCATTATACGTAACATACATCGTTGGTACGCGTACGTTATTATTAAAGTGTGTGTGTGTGTGTGTGTAGCAGATAAGTTAGTGCCCGACGACTGCAATGAGCGCGCGCGAGGTCGAGTATGGAGCATTTCATACTGTTTACAATAAGAAGACGATCTTCACGAATAAAGGACGTTATTTATTATACACACGCATATTATTTGCATGTTGCAGTCGTATTCGTCTGAATCAATGCGCAAAACATATACGTTCACACACAGATAGACCATTTCGTTTTGTTGATTTAAAATATACTAGAGTAGATTAACTAGATTAACATGTATCAAATTTGAATGCACCCGTGTGTTAATTAAATGCTTAAATATTTGATTTGGGAACTAAACTAATCAAACCTAATAGATTCTGCCTGGACGTTCTACGGCACGTCAACGTATAGTAAAATAAAACTTTTTTTATTCGTTGGAAGGAACGAAAAACAGATTAAGAAAACGTGTTGGACACCGATCCGATGGCTGAACCATTAGCATTCCTCGGAGTATCTCGGCCGCGTCAAATTATTGTCTGGTGACTGGCGTCGCTGTCGATTGATTAATACTACTTCGACGACGATCCGCACCCTACATACATGTGTGCAGTTCGTATACCCCGGGCGACCAAGTATAAAATAATAATAATAATAGTATAAAACGGCCAGGTAGGTGAGTTATGGGTATATATTATACACGACACGCGTGTTGGCGAAAATAATAAGAAAAACGTCCGGCAAAAGGTATTATAAATGATGCGGCGGAAAATCAACAGGGGCACACACACGTACGCGTATATAATACCATACATTATATTATATTATAGCCTTCGGTGTAATAATAATAATATTAATAATACGAGCGCACATATTGTGCAATCCCGAGACGCGGCGGCGGCCATTGTGCGCGAGCGTTGTTCGAGAGCAGCGGCGACGCGTGATTTATGGCGGGAGACGACGGGCCCGGTCAAACTGGTTGACGACAAAAGAATAAACGAATAAACGCGAAATTTGACGTCTTATGCGGCGGCCCGACACGGTGTTGGTCGGAAATTCCTGTAGCTATTGTCAATCAGCAGCTTCTCGTCAATGGCATTTTTTTTTTCAATATTAAAACGCGTCCGATCACTGCCGATCAGATTTTTTTTCTGACCACTTTCGATCCATCCTCACACGCTTACACGCCACTGGCAGCCAACCTCGCGGCCGTCGTCCGCGAAAACCCACACCGCGGCCAAACCTGCACGATGTAACCACCACCCGTTACAAAAAAGAGACGCGAGGTCTCAACCGACTTGCAAGCAGATATAATATACCTCTGTACGTATATTATATCGACGACCGTCACGGCCATAAATCTCGTGCACGCGCGCGATGGCTCGAAATTTATAACCTAGCGGCGTACACGTGGCATACAATATAATATATAAACATATATATATATACGATTAAGTATATATATAGACGCGAGTTTATTACCGACTCGCGTTTTTGGTCCCATTGAATTGTCAAAATGAACGATGACCGTGTCGTCGCCTGGCAGCGAGGAGGTTTGCTACGCGAAAACGAGTAAAAAAAAAAAAAAAAATCGCGACCCGGCCGGGAGAGGAGAAATCGGACGGTCAGAAATTTCGGGCTGCGGTGGCGGAGGCGGCAAACGCCGGAGCGATTGCCGGGCGCGCGCGACAAACCGGTCCGCGCGCGGGTGAAACTAAACAACCGTACCGATACAGCCACCATCGGTCGCGGCTACGAGTTGCGGGCGGCTAGACCCAACGCGATGTACCAA